TCTTTTATATTTCTTGGAAGTTTTTTACATTTTATAAATGGCCTTTTAATCAGTCAACTGAATCAACAGTCTTCTTCACAATAATTACACTTTTTGGCGAGGTGTTTTTCGACCATGTTTATCAGGTTTAGCAAGTTTTGTAAAGTTCAAATGATTTCTTTTAGGGGGTTCTTCTGCGAACATAAGACATTTTTTGAAATTTTTTTTATTTAATCTATTTTTGAATATCTATTAATTTATTTTTGAATATCAATATTAATAATCATATTATAAATTAAATTATGCAATTCAGGTCATGTTCAGATCATATTACGTCATAATGTATTAAAACAATTTTCAACAGTTTTAAATCAAACAAACATGTTTTTTAAGATCATGTTTTAAAATATTTGCCATCTCTAATTATGCATCAGATCTTGGTTCCGATCACTTGTATTTCCTATGATCATCTTCAATGCTAGTACACATATCACCTGAAATATTTGCTTCATATTTTCATTTCTCATTATAACCTTTCATTCTAACAACCTGATATCTATATAGTAAATTCTCATTATCTAGCATTCCATGAACACAATACAAATCAAATTTTGTAAAATCAAAATTAAAAAGTAAAAATTAGAATAGGTACGTATTTCAATATTTGAAGGCTAGTCACATGATTTCACAGATTTAAATATCAGTAAAAAAAGTAAATTAGCATTATAATTGTAAAAAAAAACCCTACAAATACTAAAATATGGCTAGTTTAAATGAACGTACAAAGTATACTTATAAGTATGATTACCTTTATACTCATAAGTATAGTTAACTTTACACTTATAAGTATTATAAGTCTAATTATTAATTGTATGTATGAGTATAAAAATCTAAAATTGTGCTATGCTACTATTTTTATTTTTCATACTATAATTCTTTATATATTACTCCACTTATAGAGGGTGCACTTAAAGAGGTCTGACTGTATTAAGGCTGTGGACAAAGAACATCTTTATATGAGTCGTTAACATGTTAACGAATTTTTGTGTATAAATATTTTTTCGATCATTTGATAAAGGTATAATAGAAATAATACTTAATTTACCATTTGCATCAAAATTATTATTATGCAATAACTGAAAAGAAGTTTCTTCTCTGTCTGACTTTTTTGAGATATAGACCTTTCCAATCTCTAAGCTATTAAATCGAAAATGATAATATTGTTTGATATTTGGTAAAGGTATAAAGTTATTTTTTAAAAAAAAGTTAAAATCGTACCAAACCCAACCTATACTATTTTTATACCAAATTGCTTCATTTCCTTTTGATGAATAATTTACAATATTTTCTATATTATCAACAGTGTTAACACGATTATTTCTATAAACTTTTTTGATTTGTCCAAAAAATGAATCGCAGATGAATTTCGTATGTCCCAGAAGCATAAAATTAACAATAATTTCTTCATACCAATCTAATAGACATAACCAAGACCAAAACCAAAGTGATAAATTATTTTTGTTCTGTCCGCTGCAATTGTCACAAGTAATTCGTAATTTTTTTGTTTTTTTAGTTTTTAGAAGAAAATGATAGACTATATTTAATGTGGTGTTAGCTCCTTTTGAAACACCTTCAGGAAATTCATTTTCATCAATCAAAAAATTTAGTTGATTATTTTGCTCACCAGTTTTGCAAACACCGAATATATGTACGGAGAAAGGAAATTTAAAGTAAAGCAAACCTACTTGTTGTGGCGGATAAGGTATATGAACATTTTGCGCCCAATCATAACAAATATGTATAATATTTGGATTATTTATACTTTCATTAATATTATTATTATAGTGCTGTCTTTTAAGATCTGCAGCTTTCTTGTGCTCATCATATTCAACTTGAACTTTGTTATATTCGTCTATATCTCGCTTTCAACTAACAATTTAGCTTTAAAAGAAGAGCAAACTTCACAAAGATCGCTTGCACATGGTTGAAATCGAAGATTAGGAACCATTTCATGCCATAATCTTCTAAAGGTAAAATAAGAAATGATTTTTTCTGATTGGTGTGAGTAAGATAAAAATTTTTTTTATATTCATTATAAACTAAAACAAAAGTTTGTCCAGTTGGAAGATAAATGAAAACACCAGAATCGTCCTGATGCCGTAATGGAGAAGGAAATCCGTGAATTGTTCCATATTGTATTAAAAATTGTTTAATTGGAAATGTTATATTAAACTCCAAAAAAACTCTTGATTCTG